GACACTTTATTCCACTTGGCTCATTCGCTTGCTTAAACTCAACGTTTATTCTGATTCCGCAGAACTGGGTTGGGTGTGAAAAAGTATTTGTTGTTAACATTCTTTTTTCATTCGATTTTTCCAGTTACGAGTCCTTTTTTAAAGCTGATCGTTTTGTGTTCATTTTGTTTAGTTCTTTTTTCGTAACGGATTTAATGTTTAGTATAGAGCTTAGAAAAAATTCGCAGTATGATATAGGCAAGAAGTAAGGCATGTAGCAACATCAGCACGGCAAAGGGCACTCCTTTAAAGGCAAGGGAGGGCAAAAATATTTTAAGTCATGAATCGTACGATTTTTGAATCAAGCACGGGCAACGCCAAATATCCTGCTAATAATATATATATATATATATATATATATATATATATATATATATATATATATATCCGAGTTATATTTTCTGATTTTGTCTCCTTTTTGAATTTGTAAGTTTGATGAATTGGATCGTGATTACGATTCAAATGTAATAAATTATAACCAGGAATATTAGTGTTTGAGCCTTTTATATTATATTCTTGCTCTGCCCTAGGCATTGAGCTCTATCCTCTTGGAAATTTTTATATATATATATATATATATATATATATATATATATATATATATATAGAGAGAGAGAGAGAGAGAGAGAGAGAGAGAGTGGTAATAATCCGAAGGTATATAATCCAAGTGAATCCAATAATATGAAATATTAAAACTGATCTACAAAAAGAGCTCAATGTATTTATTATAACAGACAATATAAAATACATAGATTAAAAATTCAAAACTACCTTATTCGGAAAATCGCTATTTTGATCCACAGATTCTCTTGTGGACCTTATCAATTTAGAAATATTAAGAAATGAGATAAGAGCTTAAAATTAAAGAATAAAAGAAGACGATGAAGATAGAAAATTTATTCCTTTAATGTCTCTTCCTCTTTCTTTTCCTTTATTCCTTTAATGTCTAGATTCTCACTATAATATTGGAAATCTATGTAAACTTATGGCTCGACGTTTATCGGCTGCTGCTCTTACCCTCTCCTCTCTCTTTCTCCTTTTCTATTTTCCTTTATCTTTCTCCTTTTCTATTTTCCTCGTCTTCTTCTTTTTCTCGAATACCAGCGGTCAACTATTATATATATATATATATATATATATATATATATATATATATATATATATATATATATATATATATGTTATCTCATTATTGGCATTCACTTTAATAATTCAGAAGGTAAGAGTTTCGTTAGTGGGAATTTTATGTAAGGAGGGTTTAAATCTGCAGAAAGCTCGTGGAATCAGATTTTATTATTTCCAGTAAGTTCGTATGAGACTTTTACAAGAGTCTGACAAAACGTTCTAAACTTCACTCTGAAAGAATAGCCATAACTGAACATTTTTATTATGGCAACACACTGCCACTTCTTAAAAGAAACTAGAAAAATTAATTAAGATTTTTTTACAGTAAGATTCACTTTGTACAAGGCCCGGGGCCACTCGAGGTAGAGGCTTACGATTCGCGCTAGATTACCGAGCCTTCATCGTGAGGACGATACAGGGCAAAGACGAATATGGTACTATGGATAAGTGCCACTCGAAAACACGTATATCAGAGTTTTCAGTTTTTGTGTATCTGCTACAGAGAAATCCGTCCTCGATATTAGCACCGAGCCCGTAACCGTGTCGAGTTGGGTGGTCGTATTTTGTTATCTTGACTTCGAAGCCCAAGGTTGTGTGCTCCTGCAATTGGATTGAGGCATAGATACCAGTTTCAGACAGAAACAGGAGATAGGGTTTAGACTGAAGAAGATGGGGTTCCACATCTGGAAAATTGGAACGCAGACCCCTTACTTTAGTGCAAGAGATGGTATACCTGGTTGCTACTTTTATTTGAGCTTGGGTTTGCTAGTTTTGTTCGATTTCAATTTGATTGCTTTCATATTTGTTTTGGTTGGTTTGGTGGATAACTAGTAGGAAATGAGGCAGATATCCCATTGGAGATGCCGCATAAATAACCTGGGTTGACTTTCCCAGAGATACTGCCGTAACAGCACCTATCATTATGGCAGTGAAAGGCCCCACGAGAGACTACTGTTTTAATTTGAGGGTCATAACAAAGGTGTAAATCTAAAAATAAACAAAACAGAGGCGTGAGATTTCATAAAGTATCTGCAAAAGAAAAGGTATGACCCCAAGGAAATCCATGAGGACATGGTACAGACACTTGCTGAGGATTCTCCTTCCTATGCAACTGTGAGGGAGTGAGCTGCGGAATTCAAGTGGGGCAGGTTACAGCAGAGAAGATGAACCCCAGTCAGAACACCCAAAAAACACCAACCACTGATGAACAAGCTAATGTCATTCACCGTATGGTTGGAGATGACAGACATCTTACTGCCCAGCAGATAGCTAAGTCCATACGCATTAGTTCTGGTTCGGTCCTTACTGTTTTAACTGATATCTTGGGAATAAGCAA